TGGACTCGTGGCTGCTGTTACTTTGGAGAATCGTTGTACCGTGAATAGTGATTAGTACACGATCGTTTGTTTGTCAAAAGTTATTGACAAACTCGGTAAAAATAACCGTAAACGCCGTATCATGTTGCACCACGATAATGCCAGTTCTCACACGGCCAGACAGACAAATGAAATTTTGAAGGTGAACAACGTTAACCTTATGAGCCATCCCGCGTACAATCCCGACCTGGCAACTTACGACTTTTATTTATTTCCAAAAATTGAGAACCAGTTACGCGGTCAACGATTTTCATTACCTGAAGAGGCTGGTGAAGAGAATGAAAAATATATTTCACGGAGGAGTGGCATAAATGTTTTCAAAATTGGTTCATTCATATAAAAAGTGCATTAACGCTAACGGAGAATATTTTGAGAAACAATAAATTAATTTCTGACCATTATAGTTTTTTTTTCTTATTCATTCCGGAAACTTATAGTGCGCCCTACGTACTACTTACTAGCTCGTATTAGGTAGTTAGATTAAGGACGTTTACAGGCCTTTTTTTGCGCTCCACGTATATATATAAAAAAATACGTGACTCGTGTAGTAATAGTACGGACAACGGCACACCAGACTACACATTTTTGTTCGAAAATCGCCTCCAGTGCAAAGGAACAAGATACGTCAATGTGTAACTTGATGTGCTGGTGTGAGAACATTTTGTATGAAGGACGGTAAATAAGAAATCACTAACGAGGCAATGTCCTATTAGAAGCCCGAAGTCAAAGGCTGAGGGCTTTAATAACTCGAGTTTGTATTTGTTTATCACCCATGATATACACAATGTTTTTCATCACACTTGCTTGTAAATAGTATGATTGCATAGTGACGAACTTGACTATAATGTACCACATAAAACCTACGGGTCATTTTTCTTTCCATTATAGGCAAGGTCGGTATATACATATAGGTACCGATTTATTAATATTTTGTTCGAAATTGGAAATGGAACTACTTATTTCGAATCTAAATCGCGTACATTGTATTTTTAATCAATGTTAGAGCTCTATACAAGTCCCATGGTCACGGCTATCTGGGACTGTAAAGTCGTCGACCAATAACTGGTTAAAAATATCATTTCCTATATTATTATTAGTTTCAAATATTTGCTAGCTGTGCACGTCACACTGGATATTGTATCTGAGCGTATCTTTCACCCGCAACGAGTAAGGTCATCACAATGTGATAGCTTTCGACCTATGGATATTGCAAGACTGGTATAAGTCAAGAAATATTTATTTTAAGACTTATATTATATTCGTAATTTTTACGTGCTTCTATGCTTATTCTTCTTCCATTTTTATTGGTATTGTACCGTATATACTTCACGAACCCTGTACCCCACCTAAGGTGGGGTCGGGCTCTGCCTGCAGCGCGTGGTCGAGTTCAGATTACGGTGTGTGCTTATGCTCTTCGGCGGCACAGCGGTTACTAAGGTCACATGATAAAGAGGTTCCGGGTTAGATTCCAGATTTGGGTCAATTTAAGAAACTAACATTTTCTAAATTGGTTGTGTTCTGGGTATTGCCCTCAGAGTTATCGTTAGTCTGGTATTCATAGTACAGTAAATTACATAATTTGAGATCAGAAATTTGGTTTGATTATCTGGCATTTTTTTCCCTAAATACTTGTCATTGGCATAACTAAAAGCCATATTAATAAACATAAACAAATACCTGGCTGGAACAAATACGTCAGGGGAGCGCACCAAGAGGCTCGGAGTTGTTACAAAAAGTGGCTTTTATATGGTAAACCTACTAGTGGGCATATTTATGATCGTATGTACGAATCTAGGAAATATTTTAAAGCTAAACTTAGGATCTGTCAGAATAATTCCGAACAAATGAAAATGGACATTATTGCAAGTAATCATTCAAGTAAAGACTTCGGTAAATTTTGGAAGAATACTAACAAATTAAATCAAAAACCAAGTCTTCCTGTGAGTGTTGGTGGTGTACATGATTCCACTCAAATTGCGAATGCATTCCGGTGTCATTTCAAGGTTAGATCGCCACTCTCGTCCGTGCAGCGGGTGCCACATGTAGAGTGTGGTAGGGGTGAGTTACGTGTAAGGTTCTTGCCCCGTGAAGTGCATTCCATTATAAACAAAATGGTGAGGGGAAAGTCTCCCGGTCACGACGGGCTCAGCATAGAGCACCTAAAGTACGCTGGAGAGCACTTGCCGCGGGTGTTGGCCATGTTTTTCAACTCATGTTTGAGCCATAGTTACTTGCCCGATGATCTTATGTACACGGTGGTTGTACCAGTAATAAAGAACAAAACTGGGGATGCCTCTGACTTGTCTAACTACAGGCCCATATCTCTGGCTACTGTGATAGCTAAGGTGTTGGATAGTCTGCTTGATAAACGCCTGGATAAAGTAATTAACTTACATGACAATCAATTCGGTTTCCGGCCTGGATTGTCCACAGAAAGCGCTATCCTGTGTCTCAAGCAGACTGTCCAATACTATACTACCCGTAAAACGCCTGTATACGCGTGTTATCTGGACTTGTCAAGGGCATTTGACCTAGTTTCATATAACACTCTATGGCACAAGCTGGAGAGTGAGACTGGTTCACCATGCGAGTTGACTGCAATTTTAAAATTCTGGTACAGCCACCAAAACAATACAGTGAGGTGGGCGGGTGCTCAATCGGATGTTTACAGGTTGGAGTGTGGAGTTAGGCAGGGGGGTTTGAGTTCACCGCGGCTCTTCAACCTGTACATGGACGGGCTGATGGGTGAGCTCACAAGTACCAAAATTGGTTGTTATATTGATGGGGTTTGCGTTAATCATATATGTTACGCTGATGACATGGTGCTTTTGAGCCCATCTATCGGCGCCCTGCGCAGGCTGCTAAAGATTTGTGAGTCTTATGCGGTGGCTCATGGGCTCAGATACAATGCGCTGAAGAGTGAGTGCATGGTATTTAAAGCAGGTACTAAAACGTATACCATAGTGCCTTCCATTGATCTAGGCGGCAATCCTCTAAAGCAGACAAAACAATTTAAGTATCTGGGTCACTGGGTCACCGAGGACCTATGCGATAATGCCAATGTGGAAAGGGAGCGCAGGGCGCTGGCTGTCCGTGGCAATATGTTGGCTCGCAGGTTTGCACGATGTACAGATGAAGTAAAGGTAACGCTTTTTAAAGCATATTGCCAGTCTTTTTACACGTGCAGTCTGTGGGTCAGTTACACGCGGCGGACATACGGAGCACTGCGCATCCAGTATAACAATGCGTTCAGGATGCTGTTCCGACTTCCACCTTTCTGTAGCGCGTCGACCATGTTTGCTGAGAAACATGTAGACCATTTCTACGCTATCATGCGAAAGCGTAGTGCATCGCTACTCCGTCGTATGCGTCTCAGTACGAACAGCATCCTGAGCACATTGGTGGAAAGATGGGAGTCCCCAATGCTGGGGCGGTGGATGCGCTTGCACACTGCTGCCAATGCGTAGCCAGTTGTCCTGACATTGGCTGGTTTTTATTTTATTATTTTAAACCTAACACTAGCTTAAGTATTTTTCGTTACTAACAAATATTATAGATGAATGTAAGTCTGAAATAAATGGATTATTATTATTATAGCTTCCAAAAAAAGACTAACTCGAGAGAGTCGGTTGAGATACAACAACGCTATAAGTATCTCATTTCCACTACATCGGCAAGTATATTCTACATTTTGAACAATTGTGAGGTGTTGTACTCGTAATAAAGCCTCCGTCCACTACCTACGTACGGTGGCGTACGGATGCTTCGGGTGTCGCCTTCCGCTGGACCTTGGCCTACGGCCTCGGCACTTGTGACTTTGTTGTAAAAAATTAACATAGCCCTTTCATGGCGACCATATTGAAAAATGGCAAGAAGCAAATTTTGATTACAAATTATTATTAAACCCATAGAGAAGCCCACATACCGATTTTCAGTCGAATTAGAGGAAATTTTTAGCTACTATCAAAAAAATTTTGTATGGCAGACATATTGAAAAATAGACCCACATGGCAATTTTCAAAGGAACCAGAGCAAATTTTTTTCTGCCGCCAACGAACGTTTGTATGGTGGTCATATTTGAAAATAGCGAAAAACAAATATTGACCACAATTTTTTTAACCGGCACTTCTAGAGACCCCCACATGGCAAATTTCAAAGAGATCAAAGCCACTTTTTTTCTGCCGCCAACGAACGCTTGTATGGCGGCCATTTTCGAAAGTGGCGAAAAATAAATTTTGACTACAAATTTTAATCCGGCACTCCAATAGGTCTCTACATGCCAATTTTCAGCCGAATCAGAGCAAATTCCTTTCGGCAGCCGTTTTTAATGAAAAAAAAACACATAAATGGGATTATGTTCGGGCGACCGAAAAAAGCCTTTTTAAAAATAAAATTTATTTAATGGATAGAACACAAGTTTGTACCAATGCCACGACAAGTCTGATCTTCAAATTATAAAATAAACATTGCATAATTCGCTAATTGCATCGGTTGCATTCTGGGCAGCGCTGAGTAGAAGGTTTCCGGGAATATAATGACTTAACTCCTCCCTCATCTAGTCGGAATTGCGTCCTGTAGCTTCCGGGAACGTCCTCGTTCCGTGGTTCCATCTTCGTAATGTCCTTAGCTCTTTTAACTTTTAGTTTGTAGAGTTTGTAAATTATGTATATTATCAAAATGATGTAAAGTATTATCGTGTTCCAACTAGGAGTGATCATCAGCTGGGGCCAGCCGACGTCTTCAGGTTCTAGGATAGTTTCAGGTTCATGTGCGCGCGTGTGCAGTTAGGTTGCTGGTGCTGGATGAGCTGGATTAGGCAATCTTCATTCATTCTTATACTTCTTGTGTCTAGTTGTTTGCAGATTAGTAGATCATCTGTGATGCGACGGCAGTGTTCCTCTACGTAGGCATACTCATCGATTCCCAGTGCAAGGTATTTGGATTTAGGTATTATAGTTAGGTTTTTATATCGGGAATGGAATAGGAATGTAATAAATGGTACATTTCAGGGTAGACCGAAGGAATAACTAAAATAAAGGCAAGTGTTTGTTCTGTGCTATACGCTTTTACCTCTATAGTTCTTTGAATCTCGTGAATTTTATTTGGGCTTATTTCTACTGCGGAGTGAAATGAGAACTGATTATGCAAGGTATGTATTTCGTCTAGTAAACTATGTGGATTAATAATACTAGGGTCCATTATACCTAACTGAGAAAATGTAAGTGCATCTTCTAAAATCATAAGTTTCTCTAAAATTAAGTTGTGTATTAAAATGATTAATTGTTTGTTTCGCCAAAACAATACAATTTTTCTAAGAGTTTCTGGTGTAGTCAACTCTACTTTGAATCTTACTTATTTCTGACTCGAATTTAGTCGCGTCATCTGAATCTAGAATACCGGTTATTGCCTTAACTATAGAACCTAAACCATTAATTAAACTACGTTTCTTAATACGTGTATAATGTGCAATAAAACTTAACTTACTATCTATCATAACTAAAGTGCTATTCATTTGTTCCTTACATAATCTATGCAAGGAGTTCGAGGTGACGCTCGCCTCTGTAGCTGTCGTATCTATGAAAACTGTCATCATTTTAACAGCTGCAAGCTCTAAATCGCTTATGTTATAAATACAGATTAAGTTAAAGGAGTCATTTTGCTTACAGACCTGTTCTTGCTTTAGGATAAGCACACCTTGTGTGTTATCTATTGGTGAGATGTCTACAGCGGCGGCGACAACATTGAGCACGAGGGCTTCTGTGAGGACCGACCTGGAACAAGGTGTGGTCTTCGTAACAGCTTAAAATGTACTCTAATAGATTTAGAGTTGGGGTGTTTTCTTATTATTTCAGCCACGTTGTTTAGATGAAGGTGAATGATCTGGACCCTAGTCTTTTAAATACTGGTTTCGTCTTATCATTGGTTTCACCTATTTTGAAAGCAATCTCATCCGCATCTTGGTTACGTTTCGCTATGACCTGTTCTTTATTTTTGGATGTGAGCGCTGCGACGCACTCTTGAACAGCTTCCGTGTAACTACGGTGTTTCCTAACGTAGTCTTGGTAAAATTCGTGAGTGTGGCAAATTTTTAAAGGGTTTCTGGATGCTGTGTGACCAAATAAGAGTTCATGTGGCGTATAGCCTATTGCAGAACGAATTGCGTTGTTATAAGCAATTAGTGCATAGGTTATTATAGTATGAATGGGCTCATCTTCATTCGTCATTCTCTGAATTCTAATGATTTCTGCGATTGTGGAATGGAATCTCTCAATAGGTGTGTTTGACTTAATGCCATAAGGCATTTCCTACCAGTCAACCATTGAGCCAAACAGAAAAAAAACACAAGGTTGGTGACACACTTAAAAATATATCATAAGTCAAAATGTTAGGTTCATTTATACTGTATAAAATAAACAATATATACACGATAAATATACCTAATATATATATATGGTAAACATAATAATATGCGGATAGATTCCAAAGCAAAGAATCAAATATGAGAAGACCTGAATGTAGAAAATAATAGGGGTTAAAGTATGAAATTGCCGATTTGTACTGAAAATCTAAATTGTTTATTTTTTAAATTTTTAACAAATTTATTTAATCAAAATAGTTGCTATTATTATCTATACATTGCTGCCATCTAATGGGAAGGTTATTAATGCCTTTGCGATAAAACTCCGACGATCTAGACTGCACAAACTGTGTGAAAGCATTTTGTACTGCCTCCTGGGAAGAAAACTTCTTGTCACGTAGATAATTGTCCAAATCACGAAAAAAATGGTAGTCCGTTGGAGCAAGGTCTGGTGAATACGGAGGATGACGAATGGTTTCTAACTGCAGTTCCTGAAGGGTCAAAATGGTTTCTCGTGCTGTGTGAGGTCTCGCGTTGTCGTGGAGCAATAATGGTGAAGATCGATTCATGAGTCGGGGCTGTTTTACTGCTAGTTTTGTCAACATGGTTCGGAGTTCGGCACAATAGACATCTGCCGTTATTGCTTGACCAGATCGGAGAAAACTATAGTGAATAACACCATGCTGAGACCACCAAACAGTTACCATTACCTTTTTATTGGTAAGTTTTGCTTTAGGACACTGTTGTGGCATTTGACCTGGGGTCAGCCATTGCATTTTTCTTTTCCGGTTATCATAAAGAATCCACTTTTCATCACATGTTACAATTCGATCCAATATTCCTTCATTTCTGTACCGGTTCAACAAGGCAACACAAGTTTCAACACGCGTTTTTTTCTGCAGATCAGTCAAATCATGAGGCACCCATTTTTCGTATTTTTTTATTTTATTGATTTGACGCAAGTGAGTCAATATTGTGGGTAAGGTAACGTTAAACCATGCCGCTAATTCCTGGGTAGTTTGACTAGGATCGGCTTCCACTATCTCTCTTAATTCATCGTTATTCACCTGTTATGTGGGCGGTCTTCCTCGTGACTCGTTCTTTAAGTCGAAATTTCCATCACGAAAGCGTTTAAACCAAAATCGCACGGTGCGTTCATTAGTAGACCCCTCTCCAAACGCAGCATTGATATTGCGGGCTGTTTCTGCCGCGTTAGTTCCGCGTCGGAACTCGTATTAAAAAATCACTCGAATTTTCGCAGTATCCATCTTTCTTGTCTAAATTGAATAACAAAAACAATTGAAAGTCGATATTCAAATGTTTCAAATTTAAAAAAAAAAGAAATCACAGAAACCATTTGAAAAAAGTTTCATTCGAAAACCTCAAACCATGAAGATTCTATGAAAATTCAAAGAACCTATTGCAATAAAACGGCAATTTCATACTTTAACCCCTAATATTAAAGAGTGATTAACGGCCTGCCAAAACTATAATATATGGAGGGGATATTTGTACATTTTTATGAGGTACACCCTGTTCAATTTTCGCCGGAAGTAAATAATGTTCGAAATTCAAAGAAACAAGATGGTCGCCATACAAATTTCAAAGTCTCCTATCACGGAAACTATTAGAGATAGGTAAGAGGTGCTGGAAGGAATGTCTTAGAGTAATGGTGGTCAACTGCCTGTGTCAAATAAATTCAAGATGGCGGTCGATGAAATTTATAACTAAATTGAAGTGTAAAGGAGAAAGGGCTGGAAGAAAAGTAAAATGAAGTGTAAAGGAGAAAGAGCTGGAAGCTTGAATGATGCTTTCTTAACACTGCCAAAGTCTAAAGACGGCTGGTATAGCTTTTTATGAAGTCCCTCGTACTATATGCTGGTTAGAATTACAGAAAGAAAGTTCTAATAAAAATTAACGCGAATATTTATATTCGTTACGCAAATAATATTCATTTAATACAAACTTTTAGCGTATCCGGATATCGAACCCAAAATAACACTGGTTCTATTCGTTGTTTGTGTTGTATAATTTCCATTTTAGTTGATACGCGCCCTGAAAACATAAAGAAATAGAAACTTA